CTGCCTGGCGGCACAGGTTCATTTGGGGGGAGAAAATATCATTAACTACATGCAGCGACGTATGTGTTTTATCTTCGCATTTGTCTGTTCTAAATACGTTTTACTGAGCGGTTTACAAGAACAGCTTTGACAAGAAAAACTTGTTGCGAAAGCCGCTGCTCCATCGGAGCAAAGCCTGTTCATCGGGTAATTTGTGCAGAATAAGCCCGCGCAATGACCGTCTGTTTCACTGAACACTTACTTCTTCCCTGCACTGCACTCCCTGCTGACCAAGGCGCTGTTTCAAACTGACTCTCTTGGTGGATGGTGGTTATCCGATCATCGAAGACACGCCGTGCGTACTTAAAACATTTGTCAGTCTCAGAATTGGTGTCTGAGACATGACATGAAAGTACGGATCAAATAAGCTGACCGTCACTGGCTCCGACCAGTGACGGTCGGAGCCAGTGACGGTCCCGCGATAAGGCACCTCGCTTCGAAGCCGCCCGTGGGAACCCGCTCTACAAATTCCAGATTACAAATGACCTGTTGGAAAATTAGTTAAAAGATCGCGGATCACACAGGATCGTTTCTCAACATCTAATGAAAAGTTACAAGACTCTGGAGGGCTATTCAGAAACAGTTGGAATGGAGGTGGCGTCGGCACGGAGAGAATATCGCGGTTGTGGATCTGCACGATGCATACCTGCAGGTGTATGTGGACCAGCATCTGTGGGCCTTCCAAACTGTGCAGATTCCCGGCCATCGATACTGTCTGACACGGCTTGGCTTTGGGCCGAACGAGGCCCCTCTGGTGACAAGGGCAGTGGTCCGGACAGTTCTTGAACAAAACCCAGACGTGGAGCGGGCCGCTCGGCCTACGTGGACGTCATCCTGGTGAACGAAGACATCATGAGCGCCGATGACGTCGTGGCCTGCCTGGCAAATTACGGGCTGCAGAGTAAGCCGCCTGAGCGAGCAGCGGCTGGGGCTCGTCTGCTGGGCCTGCATGTCTCACGGGAGCAGGGGAGAATGCTGTGGAGGCGCGACATCCCGCCCGGCCCACCGCCGACAGTACTGGCGCGCCGTGCAGTGTTCTCCTGGTGCGGCCGCTGGGTGGCACACCTGCCGGTCTGCGGCTGGCTCCGCCCCGCCACAGCGTGGCTGGTAGCACACCTGCCGGTCTGCGGCTGGCTCCGCCCCGCCACAGCGTGGCTGGTAGCACACCTGCCAGTCTGCGGCTGGCTCCGCCCCGCCACAGCGTGGCTGGTAGCACACCTGCCAGTCTGCGGCTGGCTCCGCCCCGCCACAGCGTGGCTGGTAGCACACCTGCCAGTCTGCGGCTGGCTCCGTCCCGCCACAGCGTGGCTGGTAGCACACCTGCCAGTCTGCGGCTGGCTCCGCCCCGCCACAGCGTGGCTGGTAGCACACCTGCCAGTCTGCGGCTGGCTCCGTCCCGCCACAGCGTGGCTGAAGCGTCGTGCGAACGCCGTCACGCGTGGCTGGGACGACAGAACAGCTGATGAGACACTGCGAGAACAACTCAGCCATGTCGCGACCCGGCTGACCCAGGGTGACCCGGCACGCGGCACCTGGAGCGTGCGAGGTGGCCGTGCCGTGGTTTGGACAGATGTCAGCTCAGTGGTAGCAGGAGTTGTGCTGACCACGCCCGAGGGCGATGTCATTGAGGACGGGTGCTGGCTGCGGAAGGATGACTGCACGCACATCAACATGGCAGAACTAGACGCGGCAGAGCGAGGAATTAATCTGGCCATTGCGCGGCACATGCGTGTCGTCGATCTCCAAACAGACTCGGTCACTGTGCACCGCTGGATAGATGACGCCCTGAGTGGCCGAGCCCGTCTGCGCACCAAAGCTCATGGAGAGATGCTGATTCGGCGCCGGGTCGGTGTCATTCAGCAGCTTGTAAGTGAGCTGGACATAACTCTGTTTGTCTCGCTGGTGCGTAGTGCTGAGAATCGTGCCGACGTGCTAAGCCGTGTGCCGAGAGACTGGTTGCGTGACGATTCAACCTTTGAGCGTGCGACGCCGGTCGGAGGCTGTGCGGTCGTAGCAGATCGGGTGACGACCGATGGTCACGGAGTCGACATAGGACCCACGGACGGTTCCACCGATCGGGGGACAGACGGCCGCGCCGACCTTGAGATGGCGATCGCTGACATCCACGCTCGTGCCGGTCATCCAGGGATCCGACGGACGCAGTCTTATGCTCGGCGCGACGTTTCGCCGACAGTGATCCGGTCACAGGTGAGGAGTGTGGTGAATCGCTGCGACACCTGTCGCTCTATCGACCCAGCGCCGGTGACGTAGTCACACGGATCGCTGGACGTGCAGGATGTGTGGTCACGGCTGGCGATCGACGTGACTCACTTTCGGGGGCAGTGCTACCTCTCAGTAGTGGACTGTGGACCATCTCGGTTCCGTATGTGGCGGCTGCTTCGCCGTCCAGGTGCTAGCTGTGCTGTTGACCTGCTGGGACAGATTTTCCTGGAGAGAGGTTGCACCTGTGGAATTGTTGTGCGACAATGACACCGTCCGTCGAAGCAGGCAGTTTCAGGCATTCGCGGCACGATGGAGTATTCGCCTGCGGTTCCGAGCCGTGCATGAGCCCGGCGATGATGGCACTGTTGAGCGAAATCATCGCACTCTCAAGGTCATTGCCGCCAGGAAGCAGTGCTCTGTCGCCGAGGCGGTTTGCAACTGTCGAACGTGACGCCGCGTGACGTTGAAAATGCGGCCAGTGCGCCGGCGGCCGCTGTCTACGTGTACCCTGTGCGGGATTGTGTGCGGCCCGCTGCTGATCAGCCGGTGATTATCGAGCCGCGAGAACCATGTGACACCGATCGGTATGCTGCTAGAGATACTGTCTGGGGTTCGTCGTCGGGGGACGCGGTGTACGGAGACGTCACAGCCAGGAGTGGTGTCAGGCACTATTTCAGACCAAGTGGTCGAAATTGACGGCGTACCGTGACATGTACGAAATTTGCGTCGTAGGGGCGATAGTGCTGCCGAGACAGGCGAAGCCTGTGACGGAGGCGCGGATGACAATGACAGCTGTTCGTGGGGGTGCCTGTGGCCGGAGAGGTTGCTGATGCTGATCACTTTGGGATGCTACTGATGCTGGTGATAGTGCCGGTGCGGCTGCTGATGATGGTGCCGGTGTGACAGGCGACGGTGACGAGCAAGTGTTGCCGCGTCGGAGCGGAAGAGAGCGAAGGCCCGTGCGATTGTATACTTGACTAAAATACAGAGAAGTTTTGACGAAATACTTGGCGTCTCATTACACAGAACTGTCTTAACTATATACGCATAATGTTTCTCGCAAATGCCCCTAACAACTTACGTAATTTTGTTCCATTACGTGTACATGTATACACAACAGAAATCAGCAAAACAAATATTGCGATTTGCTGGGCAGTTCAATATATGATGTAGAGCCACCAGCCCATGTTTGACAACTGTCGGTCTGTTCATGCCTTGCGGGTTGCCTGGATATCTGCTGCATAGTCTGCAGTCAGGCAACTGCGAACTGGAAGTGCCAACTCTTTTAACCCCGTAGACATGCAAACTGTGGGTAGAGAAAAAAGACGGTTCTCTCTGGTCCGCAACCCGTGAGGACCGCGGAATCCGCAGCGGATTCTGCTGATGTCAGCTGTTGCGAACTAGAGGTCTTTTTTTGGCTTTTGAATTTTTGAGCTGTTTTACTCACGCTGTACGAGCCTTCGGGCTACGTGCTAGAGGACGTGACACCTCCAGCCAGTCAGTATTTGGAGATTTACTGAATATCATACTCAAATACGTTTTCGTTAGGATCTGGCTAAAACTGGTCTAGATCACTCAGTTGACATAAACCGGACCCCACAATTTCAGAGTATCTTTCAGAAAGACGCGAGACAAGATACAAACAACAGCGGGAGGATGCCACGAAGCATTCTACAGCTCTCCTACAGATGTCTCGGGAGAGGAGACGGGTGCATCCCCTTCGATCAGCGTCAGTGTTTACCGGTGGCGCGTCGTGAGCTGTCTGGCTGCGCTGTGCCCACACGAGGCGACAGCGGCACCGACCAGCTCGTTGTAGCCTGAGGCCAGAACCCACGTGACCTACATGCAGGAATGGTCGAAGGGGAGGTCGATCGAATTTACAGCAGGCATTGACCACCTGTTGTATTCCTACAGGGCACATTTCAGGACGACGGTTCACAATAAAAACTGATGCACCCTCAAACCGCAAAATGATGGCAAGGCACTTGTGTGGCACGCACGTGCCAATGAATTTCTCAATCATGATATCCGTAACGCGTTTTTTTATCTCAGTAGAGATCCTGTTTGTAGTTGAACAGCATCGCCGTCCTTTCTTCTGCGCGCTACCTCTGTGCTTGTTATTTGTTGCATTGACAATCGCGTCCTGTACCAAACATCAATCTCTCAGTTAAGCATCACAATGGTTCAGAAATTTAATGGTACTGTAAACCCCTTGAGCATCGATTTCAGTATAACAGGCGAAGTCGATAATTTTCGCCTCTGCTTGTGAAGTCACCTTGTGAGGCCGCCATCGCTTCGAACTTCTCGGCTAATCCAGGGCAAGCCGCCAAGCAGTACAAGCAGTAAGCAGCCCTCGCATTTCGTAGCGCTGGCTGTGCCTTCGATGTGACCGACGCAAAAGCTCCGACGCTTACCAGTCTTCCCGATTCACCAAGTCTCCTGTTTCCTCAGGGAGCTCTGAATATGCGAGACGTCATACTTTACCCAATGAACACTGAGATTTTGCTGACGTCATCCACAAAGATCCAATGGCAAGTCAGCTGTGGTGGCGCGCCGTTCGCGAGTACAACCGAGTACCACCGAGAAATAGATCAACTCATGGCTCGACGGGAAATTTCTCGCAGGCCAAGCACAGGTATATTTAAACGACAGTTTGGTCGGAAGGTCCATTCCGTGGTGGACGGCTCCGACCGTTGGTCGCGTAAGCGAAGGTTGTACGGTGACATTCTGTGGGCGACATGGCGTATTGGCTTGGGCCGTGGATGGGGCTTCCACTACTTGCTGATGTGCATGAGAAGCAGGTGCAAGACCAGGAAAAGCCGGAGAAGTTCCAGGTGTCCATGCACCTGGGCCACTATGAGCCTGACGAGGTTGTTGTCAAGGTCAGTGACAATGTCATCACTGTCCGGGCTGAGCACGAAGAGAAGTCGAAGAACAGCTATTCGTTCAGCAGTACGGTGCGCCAGATCACGGCGCCAGAGGATGCGAGGGTGGATCAAACTGACCTCGCAGCTAACCAGCTCGGGTCATCTAAAGCTGGAAGCTCCTCTCGCGCAGAAGCCGTTGGCTAACGGGTGAGGAACATACCCATCACGATTGAGGGCCCAGCGCGTAATGAAGAAAAGAAGAAGAGGACCCGGTCCCGCTGCGGATCACCTACAATGTCGACAAGGACGACGGGGACAAGAAGCATTAAAGCTCGGGCCCGGAAAAGGCTGAGAAAGACCCGTTGGTTGAGCACGGGGCGCTGAGCTCAAACTGCTGCACGTATGGACCGAGTGAGCCAATTGCGCGATACGCTTTGCTGTGTCTGTAAATGTTAGCGCTGTGAACATGCCTGCCGTTCTGCCGCGATCTCGCCGGACGTATCTGTGCTTGGATCCTGTTCTTCTGCCGTGTGTGTGAGGCTCCAGTTGTCCTCGTGCGCTGTATGGTTCGGCGTGACCTTTGTTGAAAACCAATTTCAGCCAAGGTAAGCTCCGGAGGGTCATGATTGAACCTTGGACGCGCAGGCCGCATTGTAAATAGATTATGAACATTTGCAGTCCACACCGGATCGCCACCACGCCGAAGATCTTCCCTGTCACTCCTAAGTTATGAGCCATCTAATAAATACTCAACGCATAACGCGATTCGTGGACGGCCCCTTATACACATGGAGGGGCGGGGGTTTTACTGGGACGCAACGGAGTTGTAACAAGGGGTACGGTGGATTCTGGACGAGGAAGACGATAATTTGAGCATGAACGGGTCTTTCGGAATGAAAGGGCTCATATAATGTGACTACTTCAGAACACATAGCACCAACAATAATTGGAAGACGGCAAAATAGCATCAAAACGTGTGAACTTGCCTTCAAAATGAAATGATTGCGGTCTCTCCCTGACTGTCGTGTTTGTGCACGAACGGGACAATACTGACGCATTAGGTTAATTGGGCGCTGCTCCGAAGACCAAAGCAGCCAACCAGAACGCCTTTTACGCGCGAACGGGAATAAGGGATTGTAAGGGGATGGGATGGGGGTACTATAATTACGCGCATCAACGGGTTACATTGGGTTGCAACGGTTGAGCAACGTAGTGCTGAGTTCGAATGCAGTCGCAAGTAATGTTTAATTCTTTTAAAATTGCGAAGCTGGACACCGTTGGCTTCCTTTCGCGACAAGTGACACGTCTGTCTTTGGACCGACTAGCTGAATTCGGGGCTAAGTGGACGTTACTACTCTTGGGACTTCATGGGTCGCGACTCTCAACACTTATGCTTAAGGGGTCGGCCGGCCTACCCAATTAGTGCGCCACTAGGGGGTGGTTGATGTACGACTCACAATGCATGACGTAATTTGCAGACCACGCTTGACGCAATTCAAGGACGGTTGGGGGTAGCCTGGAATGTGTGCAAACTTTGATCGGAGTGTTGCATTCAAACGCCGAGGTCAAGACTGGGACAGTGAAGTACTGAAGACAGTTGTGTCGTCGCACTGAGCTAGGTGATCGGGAGCTAAATGTATTCGGTCGCGGGCCCTGATGGCGATCCGACTCTTCGCGTGGCGGCGCTGGCTGTTCAGCGCCGGGGGGAGGAGGCACCTTCATGGCCAACATAGGAAATCGATGGGCCCAGCGCTGTTATGTAACCCGTCTGATCTTGTACGGGCAGTTTCCTTTTACATGCATCTAATGCGCCGGCACAGTGCGTTGCAATCGATACGCACACATCTCAGAATTATCAGTGAGCAATCAATAAGTGTTCGCTATTGCATCACCCAAAGGTTAGGCACTGCTTTCTCGGTGGCGTTAATTATTGATCCGCAACGATGCTACCGCTGTCTTTGCCCACAAAAGCGCTGACCTTGACAGTCGCGCCTGCAAGTTTGGTTTCGAGTACGCATGGGATTTTGCTGCTAAGCTGGAATGAGGTCACCGTGTCAAGGAAGCACATCTTGCGATGGCTTCAAGTGACATCGTTTGTCATGAACAGCATTTTATGACCGACATCATTATTGAACAGATGCTTTTACAAAATCAGTGCACTGTGAATGGAGCTGAGGAAGCGGGGAGGTGGGGGGGGGGGGGGGGGGGGGGGGAGCGGTCCAACACCCCAGGCGTGGCTAACGATTAAAAACACAGAGGCCTAAAGACATTGTGTGGTTCAAGTTCGTCGAACAATCCCGAAATGTGGATGACCTAACGCACTACCGTGACCAGACGGGTCCCAGGGATCCCTGGTTGTCTCCAGCAAAAGAAGCAAGAGTTTGTCACACTGGCGTAACCACCACTGGTTTGCTGCGTCTGGGCCCTAATACATTTCCAGCAGATTAAATTAGTTTTGTTTTAACCCCAGTAACATTTAAGACGTGTTTTCATCCGTGCCAGCTCGTGTTTAGTCGACTTTTCTGCTCACCCCTCCGATAGGGAAATCCTGGTTGCGCTGTTCGGGCTCTGGGGCTACAATAGATTCGTTGGATTTTAGCTGCCTCACATATTTTGACTTCACCTGCAGGAGTTACATTCACACTCGGCTCTTAAATGGTGCTCTGTTATCGAGGTTTTAGCGTAACCAAAACAAAAAATACAGAATTGGCGAAGTTCGCCTATGTATCTTGTTACAACAGCAGGGTGTATGCAGGATTTGGCAATGGAAGAAGGCGCGACCCAAACTTGTGCTGAACGTTTTATTCTTTCATATTTGATTTTAATGTGTCACAAGCGCACGAAAGTCCTTCCATGACATACAGCGACTGACAAAGATTGTATGAAGAAATACGTGTGCAGGAAGTACGTTTGCATAAGTACGCATGTGAAATATTTGTATCGACAACAGTTCGTCAGGGCAAAAGTTCGCATAGAAAACGTTCCAATGCATTAAGTACGTGCACAATTGTTCCTATGCAATTGTACGCATCTCTTCGTAAACAGTTGCACGTACGCAATTCTTCGTAAGCAACTGTACGTACGCATTTCTTTGTGAAAATTGTACGCGCGCCATTCTTCATTCGCGCAGCAATTTTACGCACACCACCCTTCACAATGATACGAGCATGAATGTTTGTAACGGATAAAGTTGTTGGACCACGGTACGTACCAAAAGCTTCCACGTACTGACCTTATAGCAATACGTGTGCATAGGCTGTACTCCTATGAGGAGTGCTCCAAGACTTCGGTGAAATTTGGTGTACGCGGGATACTTTAAGGCGAACATCTCGGCTGAGCGATTTTCAGGTATATTCCGCTTACGTCGGGGGCAAGTTTGGGTCGGATGCAAACGGACTCCGAATTCACCACCTCTTAGAGCACATAATAATTTTGGAAGTATTATTTTGTTACATGGCTGGGTCCGTCAACGACGAATTCAACGACCAACGACCATTCAATTTGTCACCAAATACTCTTCAAATCGAGAAGTGACTTTTTCGCCATTTTGCAAAGGTCAAGGAGTAGCATTCGCGTTGCCAATATTTTTGAAAGGTTTTTGCAAAACACGAGGCATACGAGTGCATGTGCTGCAAAATGTCATACGGCAACAGATATACGAGTGTCATATTTCAAGCGAGTACGAATGGCATATGTTCATATGTTATACGGCGAGACACATACGAGTGCAGGTGTTCGTACGTACATTGGTATCCAACCACTATCAATATCAGCTTGTCAGCTTATATTTTGGGCATGAGCGCAGTTGTTTATCCTTTGGTCCCATCAGGGAGAGGGGTGAGGTGGTAAGTAAAGGTCAAATCGCGTGCAGCATATGGTGCTAGCAGGATACATGGTATGAGACACGTCAAACGATAACATCTAATGATGCAAGTTAAGCTACACTACTTGAAACTTGCTTGTCATGACGTGCTATCTAGGTCGCGATTGAAAGGTCGGTGTTTCGATTCCAGCCACCGCGGAAGTTGTCTCTGTCTCACCAGTAAATTCGAGGGTTATGAAGAGGCCAATAACATTGACAGGCCTGCTCCTTATGATTGCAGAACATGGTCATTACTATAGCGGAAGGTCTTCCGTTGAACTGTATGGAATAACTAGTTCTTTAGTTCAATTTTTTGTGATTTATTTGAACCCGAATTCGTTCAAGGGCTGATCAAACTTGTGATATCTCAGAAAACTCTGAACAGTGGATCTTCTCATAAGCTGGTTCAAATGCACAGCTCAGGTGAAAGTTCCCCCCCCCCCCCCGCCAAACACTTAGTCACCAAGCATGTCCCTTGATCCCCTCCCCCACCATCCCCTATGGATGCACACGTGAATTTACTGGAGAATAATTATTATTTCACAATATACGGAGAACAAAGTAGGGAACATAAGCATTCACGAAGCTTTGTAGTTATGTCTTAAACGGATCCCAACCAGCATGACAGCACGCTACGGAGGCTGAGACGCTCCTTGAATTCGCAAACAACATCTAAAACCAGGTCGCGAAAACAGGGCCTAAAAAGTACAAAGCTGTGGTGTTAACCAGGGGCGCCGCCAGAGGCGGGAGCGCCCGTGGGGGTGGGCTAGATTACACCCCCCAGGCCTGCATTTTTAGCGCCGTAGCAGGCTTTTTCGACTTCCTTGTGATGATCTCGCTGGGCTCGGCCCCCGTCCCACCCTGAGACTTGAGGCCTCTTAAGCTTGCAATTTGTGCCAGTCAGATATCTGTAACTTTGTGAATTTTCAACTTCCGCAGTGATAATGCATCCGATCCAGACCACAGGGATTGGGACCTGCATTCAAACACACATCACGCATCTGCATACGAACTTCGAACAGTTGAATGCGAACATTTGTGCGCAGACAAATGCGTAAGACACTTTTCCATACGTACACACTTTTCTCGCTTTTCCATACCTTTTCCGCTCTTTTCCCGGGCAAACACGTTACCTTACAAACCACTGACCAGTTACCTTCACCATTACAAAGTTTTACATCACGCACTTTCCATGTCACGGACTTAACATCCCATGCTCTTTATCCTGACGAACTTATGTAAACTAAATGCTACGGACAAT